AACAAGTTTAACTTTTATATACCAAATCAGTTTTCTAAATAGGCTATTTCTTTGTATGATATTTTTATTTTCCTTCAAATTAAACTATGGAAAGGGTCTGTTAGAGTAGTAATACTCTGGTTAGATTTTCCTATTTTTATATTTAATTTCATTTTTATAAATAACTTAGTTAAATGTGGAAGTGCTTTTGAAATTCAGGTTACGTGTACTAACTATATGCATCTAATGTGATGTGACTATTGGCGCAGTAAGGACACGAATGTCAATTCTTTCTTAATTATATCTCCTTTCTAAGAGCATGGTTTATGTGTTGAAATAACATTTTTTTTCACTTCATATGCAACTATAAATTATGCTGGAGCTTCAGCAAAAAGTTTCCTAGCACATAATTGAGTGATATAAATTGATTTATTTTCAAAAGCAACTATAAATATTGTTTTCTTCCTTACATAGATTATAGGGTTGTGGATATTTTCAAACATTCATAAAATTTAATACATCCCATCTATAATTTTCATAGTTCAGCAAGACAGCTTTAATTTTTGACTGAAGTCTACTAAACAAGTGTGAAAGATTGAAGCCTAAAGTCAATGGTTGTGGAAGCCAGAACCTTAAAATATGTAATTAAACTTCCATTGAATAGAAGTACATTTCCATTTTAGACACCATGTTCAATTCAGTTTATCCAACACTTATTGAGCACTGTGCTATGGGAGTTTTATTGATACGGAAAAAATCACCTATAAACGCTATTGTAGTAACACTGATAATACTTAATAGAACTTGAACCACAATAGTGATGGGGCGTGTGGGGGGTCCCAAATGAAATGCATTTTTACATTAGAATTATTGGGTGACTGGGTATGTGGATTGAGGGTACAAGGAGCATTTAAGATAATGTGAAGACTTTTCAGTACTGGGAGACTGATGACACTATTAAACAGGATAGGAAGTAGAAGGGAAAGGTTTGGTGAGCATGAGAACGTTCAGTCCAGTTTTGGGCCTTCTGCATTGGAGACATCTGTAGGGCATTCATGTAGAAATGAGTACGCAACATTTCTATGTCCTTGTGAAGACTGTTATTAAGAGGGCACTGTTGATTTCTTCTTGAACTTCTGGACCATAGAATGTTTCTAGGCTATGTGACAATAAGAGCAGTGACCTTTGCCCTCATCCCTGTAACACAGTTAAACCTCAAATTATAGCACATAATTGCATTTTATCTTGTATCACATTCTAAATATCTTAAATCACTTTTGTTTCGCCTTGTGATTGTAAACATTAGGGTTGAGATGAGGCTTTATGCTCTTCTCAGTGATAGGGCCAACAGTACTGTTGAACTCTTAAGTGACCTCCGTGATCACTGCTACCAAAGAATCTTAGAATTTGTTTCTCCCAGTGTACCTGGTGATGGTACAGTAGTAAATGTATTGAGGAATTGCTTTCATTCATTCATTCATTCCTTACTTACTGAATGCCTGCTACATTCAAAGTATTATTGCTTACAACTGGGCATGAAGCAGTAGGGTTGCTTTCTTCCTGGATGTAGATAACTACAACTACATCTTATTGTAAAACCTTTAATTTCCTTTTCAGAGACTTACCAGTTTTGTATGTAGAAATTACTCTTTTAATTTCTTAAAATCTTAGAATCACTTCTGGTAAAGAGGGAGGTATTGAGGGGAGTGAGGAAAGTGGAAGAATTAAGAAGATAAAGTGACTCTGAATGAACTATCTTAAGATATTGCCATGTATTGATCTCTGCCAAAGGGAGTTCTTGCTAGACCTGCGTCTGGCAGGCAGATCTCCCTCGCGCTTTTTTCAATTGCTGTCTTTCCTGATTTCATTTGTTGCCCTCTGAACTCACTGCTGTGGCGTGCTGATCAAATGTGGGAATTCAGAGCAAGGTCTGAATACAGCCTTGGTTCACACGCTTTGCTACTTAGTGTTTGTGGGAGCTTGGCTAAATTGCAGCCTCTCTGAGTCTTGTTTCTTCCTCGGTAAATGGGGATAGGAGCACTATGTAACTAGCTTATCGGTCTGTTCCATTCAGTGGAAACTGTTTAGCACATTGCGTGGCACATAGTATATGTGCAATAAATGTTAGCAGAAATAGTGATGAGATAGTGGGAATCCTTGCCGTACTTTATGTTCCTTAAAGTGCTAGATAATATTCAAGTAAAATACCAGACATTTAGTTTTAAAATTTTATTTTTATTTACTGTAAATATTATATATTCATTGATTGTTTCTACTTTAGCTTTGAAGCATTATTATTCATTTCTCTAGTTTGGGATTTTTATAATTCAATGTGTATATATAACTTTTCTGTCTTCCCTTGTACGTTGATCTCTGCTGTAGGAAAAAAAGAATACTCAGGAATATCCTGATCTCATATCTATAGAAATAACTTCTCTCTTGCCTCTTTGCTCTCCTCACTCCCTCATGCTCAGATAATCTGTCTTATAAGAAACATCTATGGAGAGCGTAGGGTGTACAAAAAATAAGAGTAAATAAAGACAAAACATGTAAGAAAGCAGCACTGGTACTTCCAGTAGAGGGAGTTGTTGGCAAAATAATCAAGTCACATAATATACAGGTGAAATGGGCATCAGATTTAAAAACAAAGCCTTCCCTGTGTAAAAAAAATCTAACTAACTAAGAATTAACTAAATGATAAGTTGGGTGATGCTGTGGTTTCTGTTTTGCTATTTGCCAAACCCAAACTTGATATGCAAGTACCTAGGGATGCATTGGAGGACTATATGCACCATTACCATTGCCAGGTAGCTTTTCTCACATTCTGTTTCAGGGATAGAAGTAAAGACAAAATCGTTGACACCTCTCTCTGTCTCTCTGAATCTCTAAAAATCGCAAGTAATGACAGTTACAGTCTGGATCATTTGAAAACAAAGAAAGTACAGAAGCTATATTTTCATAATTCAAAAAGATTTTTTTCACAGATTTCTAGACTATCTGAATAGACTGAGATAGCCCTAAATGGCATAAACTAATGGACTGAATCAGAACACTATCCATTTTATAAAAGTGGGCGTTGTTCAAAAGATAGTATCTTTGCAATTTAGACTCTTTCTGAAATTACTAGAAGGCCTGTAATTAAAAACAAATTAACAACATTTAATTCAGCTTGGATTGGAATTTTTTCAAGTATTTTCAGTAGGATACTAAAATTGATTTGAACCTTTGCTTTTCCAACAGAAACATCACATTTCTTTCTGTTGGCAACATTGTCCAATAACTGACTATTATAATAGTCCCTCTGCACTTTGAGATTTAATACTCTTACTCTATCACACTCTAAGAAATTGCTGCCCTGGAACTTGGGGATGTTGAGACTGCCCTTAAACTTGAGAGTCTCACTTAATAGTTGACTGAGTTTCCCCCTCTGTATCATGCCTAAATATTTTGATGTGGATTTTATTACTTTTGGCTGCATTAGTAAATTCAGTTTGCAAAGTGTCCAAAGAACTCTCTATAATAGACAAAATGTATTTTAAATGAATTCACTATAGTATTCTTGTAATTTAAATTTCTGTTTAATTGATTCAGAAATGGAAGTTATGCATCTCTTATTTTATTCTCATTAATTAATTTGTGAATATTAGTACCATCAACTTAATAGATACTAGCTTTAAAAAGATACATGTGTGTTTAAGTAGGTTTTTATAATTTCATAAGTTTCTTTGGAGGATCAGCTCTGCAAGAATAGACTTCATAGCATATGGTATTGTTTTTCTGGCAGAACAAAAGTTGTTTCCTGATTGGCATCATGCTTTTGTAAGGGGTACATTTTAAGTACTTTATTTGCCATAGAATATATAGGGGCTTTTAATTATTAAACGTAATTTTCAGTAAGTGGACTCAATTGGACTTCTTCATCCAAAGTTCCTTTGAACCCTTACATACAAATTGGAATGCCTTTTTTTGACCTTCATGAATTAACATGCATTAAAAATGGCTATAGTAAAATGAAATTGAACAAATAAAAAGCAAATCTATACTGTTGTGTATCCATTAGAATAGGCAAGATTATGCTGGAGTAATAAGCCTAAAAACTCAGCAACTAAGAACAATGAAGTTACCTTGTCATGTATGTTGCTGGTCATTGTAATTTGACAGCAGCGATGTCTTTGTTGTTGTCAATGTGGGGAATCAGGCTGAGGCAGTTTCCATCCTAAAACATGCTTCAACGATTATAGTTCTGGGGAAAAAAAGTGTAATGAATCTTTTGATATTCTTAAAACTTCTGCCTGAAAATGGCATAGTTCACCTTGGTGAGATGTAGTCCCATCTGCATTCAACAGGATGTGTCCAGAGAGGGACACTGGCTGTTATGGACAGTGTGACAGTTCACTGTACTCTTCTAAGTGAGTGAGTGTTCGGCCACTGTTGATAGTTTCTACATGAAACTTAGACAATGGTTTAAAACTGACCATGGGAAGAAAATGAACTGTTTTCACCTAATCATGACCTGATTTGTTTTAGAATTCGTACTGGCAGTGCCTGAACACATATATACAATAACATTTATTTCACTGGGGATATTGCCATTGTCCTACATGAAGTGTGGACAGGGAGTAAGAGTATTGCATGGACTGAACTCCTTTGAATTCACAGTTGTCCATCAGGTAGGGCCATTCATAAATTTAATGACCACATTACAGTTTAAAACATTTTAAACTTTTTTCTTTTCTTTTGGCTTGAAACAACAAGAAGAACAAGGCCAAATTTTAATTTGGAATCTAAGTGTGTAATTGTCTAGCGCATTAGGGGAAAACTAAGAGTTACAGATAGCTAATAGTTTAAATAACAAACATAATGGAACCATTAATGATATTGCCAAAATTCACACCAAAATGAAAAAGTTATAATTTGTTATCAAGATTGGTGTTTTTCATTTCTTGTTTTCTTTAATCTCAGATTAACTATTAATTATTCAATTATTGCTAATATTCCTTTTTTTATCCTGATTTTTTTAGGTATTACTGATTTTCCAAAAATATTTTGTGAAACTTCCCAGAAGCTGGTGAATGTGGAAGCCTTTGCTCTGGCTGCGAAATATTATTCTATACAAAACTTGGGAATATGTACTCCTTTTGAACAGTTGCTTGTAGCCCTTCAAGGAAATCAAAAACAGAAAACCGGTAAGTGTGTTTGTGTGTGTGTGTGTATGTTTTTTAGGCATTTAGAAGCAATATATTGGTCATATATGTATGTATTTCCAACATGGCCTTAGTTTGCTGTTAGACCTTGTATCATGAGCCCTGGTAGACTACTTGTGCTAAACGAGTAGATTTTCTCATGCATCATGTTAAACAGGACAACTTAGTCAGAGATCTCCACGTTTTTCCTACATTGTAGTCTAGTTATCAGTCTTCTTCTTTATAGTTAATTGTTTTCTGTGTCAAGGAACATTTTTAATAATGTTCTGTGGGTCATCTTATTTTATCAATGCAAATTTGATTCATAACAGCTGAACTATAGAGATCTATCATAGAGACACCACAATAGGAGCTCTATATTATTTTCATATTTAATTATAGAAAACATGAACATCAGCTGATGATTCTTGCTAAATTTTGTTTCTTTAATGGCAGTATTTTGTTTATTTTTGTTCAGATGAAAACATGAAGCCAGATGAGTTTATGAATTTGAAAAAATCTCATGAAGTTCAGGCAATGTCAGAGCTCATCAGCAGTATTGCTGATTACTGCGGAATAAAGCAGGTAAGAGCATTGCCCTGTGTTTTTAGGTGTTAAAATTATTGCTATTTTTTGGTATCATTAAATTTCCTTTTCTACTATCACTGTCTAGCCTTTAAATGCCATTAAGTAATAGCTGATGTGAGATAGGTCACATCATATCTGATTCTTTAAATGTACACTCTCATTTCCCAATACACTGTAGTTATAACAAATACATACTAAAAATAAGATATGACTATCAATGTTTTGCCATAAATTTCACTCTTTTGAGATTGGATAGAAGTTAATGGTAATTCTCTTTGATATGTTGTAACTCCAACTCGAGCCAGCATTATGAATATGACATTCTGCAAAATTATTTGCTACTAGGTGTTCTCAAGGACCTGGGTTACCAAGCTGTAATCTGGGGCACCTGCCTCATCATAGTAACACAAAGAAGCGCTTGGATTCTTTCACAGTGTCAGAATTATAATGCATTCCTGTTGTGAAAAATAGCTTTTGTGAAAGGTAGTAATGTCTAAAAACAGATGTTAAAGTAAAATCAGTGATTGCCTACATTAGCCTATAAAAATAGTAAGTTATTTTTCTTATGCCTATAAGAACATCTATGGGGGTAATAGGGGATTTTCCCTTCTTCAGTTTTTATTAGGTGTTAGAATCTTTTCCATCGATTCTTCCAGACCTATGGAGAGTTTGAGGGTGACTAGAAAACTATCACAGCCTGGGCCAGGCATGCAGAGCCACTTATGGCAACACAGGTCTGTAGGGCAGAGACCAGAGACAAGAGCTAAGGCAGTGATTTTCAACCTTTTCTCCAGTACATTACACGTAGGTAGCACCTATCAGAATCAGCAACAGGCTCACTACGGCAGTGACTCTCAGCTGGAGTAGAAGGGGCTAGTACATAGTAAAACTTAACAAACTGTTGCCATACATAACACATGGATGAATATTAGAAACATAAAACTGAATGGGAAGAATAAGCAATTTACAGAAGATTACATAGTTTATGGTACCGTTTTAAAAAAAAAAGCTCTTAAGCAAAATAATATGTTCTTAATGCAAAAAAATATGCAAAAAACTACTAAAGAAGCAAGGAAATCATAAATAATAATTTGAGAATAGTTCTTACCTCTGGTAGGAGAAACAGGGGGATGGGATGTGGAAAAAAAGCATTGTTATATGCAGTGGAAATACTAACATTGTAGTTCTTAGGACGGCTGGTAGGTTCATGGGTACCACAGATGCTCCTGGATGCTTTATCCAAACACACTCAGGCTTTACCATTTCACGGTGTGCCAGCCTGCTTTCTACCTGGCACTTCTACATTTCTTTCCCTGTGGGTTTTCTCTGGCTGCTGAAGCAAGGTACTGCCTGCATACAGGTTCTGGAGATTAGTTCCTCCCTGTGAGTGTCCTTGAATCAATGACTGATAGAAGCTGATAAATACATCAACTCCTGGACTTTCCAGGTGGGATGATTCTGAGGTATACGTTCTGCACTAGCTCTTAGAGTTTCCCAGTACAATTAAATCCAGGTTGTCCTAAAGTGGTATTTTGCTTCAGAACACACCTTTTATTGGGCCTTTTATTTCTGTGTCTTCCTTCTCTTCTCTATTTCCCTATCAGGTGTTTTTTTCACTCCCAGATAAATCACTTATGTTCAAATCTGAAAGGGGTGTTTATTGTTATGCTTCATAACTTTACATTTTGACTACATTTATTCTTTTATTTATATGAAATATTATATCATCAATAGCCTTAAATTAATAAGGCAGATTTATTTTATTTCTAAAGTGCAGAGAAAAAAATTTATAATAGCATAATGTTCATATTAGACCTGCTCTAAAGGAACTTTTTTCATAGTAATGAAGATTGTTTCTAGTGAGTGAAATAACCTGAAATAAAGACTTACAGGGTCTTTCTCTTGAAATTACTTAATAGCAATATTTGATTCTTAAAATAGTTAAGTTTAAAATGTATTATATATTACTGTTTTTTAACTTTTTTATTGA